AACGGAGCGCCATTTAATCGACTTGCCGTCCGATTTTCAGAAAAGTCGTACCTCATATCGCATAAACCCCCGCCGTCGACAGACACCTTCCCCCAATAGCGGAAATCATCGCTGATCACGGCCGATTTTTGTCGATCTTCGTTTTTGGATGATTATCAGTATTTATCACACATCCGTCCGTGTGGGATTTCAGGATATTTGGACGGATTTTCCGGGCCCGTTATGTAATTACCAACACACGATACCCGCGTGCTTACTGTGCATGCACAAGAGATTTTACTATTCGCCGTATATGTTTCGTCCGCCGTGGGACACTAAATTATGAGTATTTTCTTCCAAATTTCATTTGAATAACAATATCAGCACTTGCGCTATAAACTCGCAAATATTGTATGCTCTTCTCCGTACTGCATTGAATACTAAATATACAACTGTTATATAGGCATATATTATAATATTATAATACACACCACACACGATACGTATACCGGCCACTAATAGACACACTACTAATTGGCGTGTTACTTTTATTGTGTACGCATTCCGTTACACGTCTGTAATCTCTGTAGTAACACGTTGCCAGATACCTAACTACTACTACTACTACTTATAGCAATTCGAATAACACGGATATATTATATTATTATTGCTATTAGAACACGGCTTAAAGTTATAGTGCGAGTTGTATGATTTATGTGATTTACGCTGTATAGTAATACTGGTTAATTGACTGCGGTTCCAATGATCATAAACGCGTTTCCATTACTACCTACTTGTATTATGTAGGTATAGAATAAATATATGTATATAATATATAGGTATACGTTTTATATATTTATATTTATAAGCTCTCACGGTTTTTCGGTGCATAATTATTATATCTAAAAATGAAATGAAATGAAAAATAAAACGTTATTCCACAATAATTCGAACTCGCATGACAAATCGACGACAATGTCGGATTCGTATATTATGTAAATTATCCAGTTATTTTAATGCTGCTGCAGCAACATCGAAGCTCGTTAAAAATATTATCGATCGATATCAAATCGTATCATCGGAAGTGGACGGGTTAACGAGAAATAATGTAGTTTATACGCTATAGCACTTTTTAACTAAAATTTCAGCAAACCTCGAACGACAAACCATTATGTTATATTATATAGTTAATCCTTCTAAATTGACCATTGCGGTTAGCCACACATATATACGGTCCAACCCACTTGGCCACTTCGTGTACCCAGAGTGTATGATCATTATACTTAATATTTTATTTACAAATTACAAGTCAATTGCGTGAACCTCGTTAGTAGGAGCATAAGTAGTAGTAGTAGTAGTAGTAGTAGTAGTAGTGGTGGTGGTACATCAAACGTACATACAACTAGTACTGGTACACTGTATATATTATTGAAACGTCATAAAATATAAAATTACTCCTACGATTTCTTCCGGATAAAATGACGTACCGTTAGTAGAGTAGAGCGCCCCCCCCCSCATCAGCAATGGAAATTTTACTATTTTCAATTCCTAGACAATTTTCAGAACCATCGGGATTTCGAAAGAAATCCTTCCCGCGCCCAAAAATGGGTCTAAATATACGTAATAGACAACGTCCAAGACCTCCACGAGTTAAGGGCTTATCGTCCATACGTGGTTGTATATTTTACATCTACGTGTATATATATATAATATATAAAGAATAATGAATAATGAATAACAACAATAGCCGTAATATTTTGTCGCTTTGCAATAATAACGGCGGAATTCATAAGAAAAGAAAAACGAGTTTTTAATAGTTTGCCAAACTCATAATATCTCCCACCATGTACACTTGTATAATATATCAGTTGCAGTGGCGTAGGTATATCATGCTTCACGTCTTCTTGAAGGGTGCGCCGCGTCGTGGGAAAACTCTATATAGCGTATGTATCGTCGGCATTGTGTGAGTGTGTGTGTGTGTGTGTGTGTGTGTGTGTATATGTTTCTGTGTACGCGTGTGCAGAGAGTCGATGCCCTGTCTGTGGTCACCTCTCTTCCGGCCCGGGCCGGCTCACGGGTTGTAGAATGCCGTTGGGTCAAGGCTATAGATGCTCCCGCCGCGGTGATCGCCATACAGACTCGCGCGCCCCGCGACGCTTTCGTAGGCCAATAATTCTCCCACCGCCGGCGTCTTCGTCGTTGCAACTGCCGTCGCCGCTCCTCTCCATCTCGATCGCCACTGTATGTATGTGTGTGTGTGTGCCACCTGACCTAAATCAACTTACCTGATCCGCCCGAGGCGTATATAGGTGCAAGCCGACGAAAAATATACGAAAGAAAAAATCGACTGTGTATTATACGTTCGCTGTAATACCTATGACCAGCCAGCAGTAACCAGTCCGCACAAAACTTTCTGCCAATCTTGTAATCATTTCCTAGTCCACTTATTAGTCATACACTCATATATGCGCGCGCTTACTTACACTCGCAGACACGCACACACGTGTCCGGTGCGATGTTTTCAGAGCATAAAGCGCGTAATTTGTAGGTATATATAATACGCTTCGCCTAATTGTTTCCGACAATATACGTGTATGCGTGTTATAATTACATAATATTATATTCTATATGGTTCTGTGAGTCCAATAGGTACATAAAATTAATTAATACAACTCGTACTTCACTTAGCGTTATTGATAAACTTAATCGTTCTTCTCGAACAATTCTCGGTTTTCATTTCTGAGGTTGTTGTCAATATAGTACGTACTCGTATTATATAGGTATATAAATAGGTGTATGATGGCTAGGAAAAATGGTAGAGAAGACAAGAATGTGTGATCATGTGTATAATGGGGATTGTACCTCAACAGTAAATTATTAAATTGCATTTGTATGTAATAATATGTATGTGTTGGTGTATAATATAGACGGTTACAACTATGTATATATACATGTAATATACCTACACGAGAGGAGAAAATAAGTATTATCCGTTTATTAATTAGAGGTCCGGTGGGGAGTTTAGGTATTTTCGGATTCGGTCAAAAAAAAATGCCGTCTCCGGTAATCCGGTTAGGACATCAGACAGGTTTGATAATGTCAGCCCCGGGGGCCCCCTTCCCGCGCGCCGTGTACCCCTCGCGTACCACCACATTATAATATATTATGTGCAGCACACACCCGGTCACGGGCTGCACATAGCTCACGGACGGGCAAGAACGCACGCCCAAGAACTTTGGATCGTCTAAAGCCGTCAGTTAATTTTAAATTCATAACAGGTCCGATACTGATTGTAAGAATGTACGGAATTTGACCGACTGATGGGCACGCTTTCCAAATAATATTATAATATGTGTCTCGTGCAACAAACACGCGTGCAGGTGCGATGACGTYACCCGCCGCGTAGTAAAACCGTCATCCGCGGTGACCGACCGTCGCGTCGACCGAAGTACAACTTTACCGRAGACACGGCCGGAAATTCGACTGTCACTGAGCGTAGGTATATCTGGACTTAGGATAAGGAGATCGTGACTATTATARCCATCATCCTTGACTCAGCTTTCCGCTTATTATTAAAATATTGTTAAACGTTTGGGCCGTTTTTTCGGCACAGTCGTGTATTAAGTTTATTGCTGTAAACATGGTACAATCATGAAATATAATATAGACTATAAAATACCATCACATCTTGTGATTMGCTACTGGAGACCCGGAGAAAGGGACGGTATGCATGTTAAGAGTAAAAATAATTTGTGCACATCGCTGTAAMACCTAATTCATTGATCGTACTATTAATAATTCCTATCACTAAGTCTAAAATCGAACGAATGCTTATTCTCAATTCCAGCATGTCCTTATTCTCRCAATGAATTTTTTTCTTTTTCTTTAATTTATATATACGCGTGTTTTCGTTATGTATATGGTGTGTATACACACGCTTTTCGTGTGCCGGCCCCGCGCCTGATGGTCTTGTAGCACGATTTCGCGACGACTGCATCAAAATCGTGTATAATA